GGTTAATCCACTTGTCTGCCTCTTCCTGGGTAATATAGTCTCTATTCTTTTTATTACTCTTTTGAGTAAAAGGTTTAGTATTACTTTCTGAAAATATTTCTTTATGAATTTCAGCTATAACCCCTTTCTTATCTATATAATCTCCTCTTTTTCTATCAAAATCTCATTGCAAATAGCTGATTGCTTCACATAGAAACATACTTCATTTAGATGGACATATTCCTGTATTAGATCTATTACCCTCCTTTTTCATTTCTATATAAAAGCGCTTTCTATCAAATTCCTCAGGATTACAGCATGATTCCTGTTGCAAGTTTTTAAAAATACCTAATTTTCTTTTCATATTTTGATAATTCTATTCGATATCAGGATTTTTGAATGGAGTATCTTTACTTGTGGTTTTAACAACCTTTTGAATGGGTTCTTGGATAGCTACTTGAACAGGTTCTTGGATATCCTCTTGAATAGGCTCTTTAATTGGTACTTGAATAGAAGCTATATTTTTTTGATCTTGTAATGGTTTACATGAATTTTTTCGCTTAAGATGCTCACGAAGTTTTTGAGATGTTGAGTATTCATGGCCACAACGTTTACAGATTGTATCTTTTTTATCGCTTCTTGTTTTTTCTAACCATAGTGTTTTCTCTAACCGTCACACTATTACTTAGTTATAAATTTTTTTCTTTAATTAATTAATTATTATATATGTAGAGTACATATCACTTTTCGATCCCGCCTTCTCAAAGCCAGATATTTTTAGTTAACACTATATAAGATAACTATTAATCTTTTCTTGAATTTATAACTGGAAGGAAAAAAGCATTGCAAAACTGAAGTATTAACCAATTACTATTAATCTTTTCGAATCTAGTAATAAAAAAGTAAAATGATTGGCAAATATTCATGTTCATATCTCTGCAATACCAGAAAGGCTTGCAATAGGCCTTCTACTCAGCCAGAAGGTTGCCGATTCCATTGGAAGGCTAAAAAATGAATACCATGCTCTGATTGTGGGAAACCTACAGCATCTGCTTGTGGACAATGCCTATCACATATTAGAGGAAACTACGTTACTCAGCACTATAATAGATTGCGGGCTAAATCTTTAAGCTTGGAATATACTAAGGATATAGAGGAGGATGTAACATGTATATTGCTTATATTTTTTTACTAGATATATTAGATCATTTTTATGAGCTAGAGATTGCCAGAATTGTTTTTAATATATTTTTTTATTATGCTACTTACTAAGCTAGCCCGTGTAGAGCCGTTCTTGACTAAGAAAAAGTTAGAACAATTTTGTGGATTTTTTCTGAATTTTTATAGAGGAGTATTAGAGTTAGATTTACGTACTTAATATATTATTTGTATGAACTAACCCACATAGAGCCACTTTGTAATATATTACTTTTTTGTTAGATATATAAAATTCCCGGCAGAGCGGAATTGTTAGATTTATTTAAATTATATTAAATAACAAGCTAACCCTTATAGAAACAATTCCTGATATACATTTTTTCATTAGGCATAAAATTCTCAGCAGGGTGGAATTGTTAGACTTATTTTTCCGCAGAGCGGATAAAAAAGTTGGGACAAAATTCTCGTTAGACTTTTTTAAAAATTATACTATTTAATGAGCTAGAGCTTGTAGAGGCCATTCTTGTCTATAAGTAATTTCGTTAGATTAAACAAGTCACGTGATACTTGATATGCTAATTAACGTTTAAATCTCTCTAGAAGCAATTTTTAAATAGTTAGAGATATTCATAAATAAATCCAATGAATCTGAAATCATTAATAAATATAACTAAAAAAAACAATATAATTTTAGGGCTTTTGAGAGCCCCGAATGTATTCCTGATATGTTTATAAATTGTTAGATTTATTTATGAGATAATAAGGACAGTTAGACTTAAATAAATCT